TATTATTTTGTAGGTGTGTGTGTACCGTCAAATCTGATCTGACTGGTACAGGAGGAGATTGTTCCTCCTTCCCCAGCAGAGCATCTGGTGGGTTCAAACAGTGCGCCTCTGGGATTATAGTTGCAGTTCCTTGCCACTAGACCACCAGAGAGCTCCCCGCTCCTCCTATTTTGCAGCAGTCTCGGCCCGAGGGCTTGCCCAGAGCAATCCGTCTCCTGATCTCCTGGCAGCTGACGGGGTGAGGTGGGGGTCCAAGTAAGATGAAATCATTCACAGTTTCAATCCTTTCTCCATCTGTCACGAGGTTTCCTATTGGCTTAGGGGTAAGGATCTTCGTTTTCTTGATGTTGGGATATGTCGTCGTTGTTGTTGTTATGTGCCATCGAGTCGCTTGCGACTCATAACGACCCTATGCACAACAACCCTAAACTCTGCTCTATCCTGTGCCAATCTCATTGCCTCTGACACACCCAGCCCGATTACCCCAGTCACTGAATCAATCCGCCTCATAGAGGGCCTTCCCCTCCTGCGCTGTCCCTCCACCCTCCCAAGCATGATGTCCTTCTGCAAGAACCAGTCCCTCCTTACAACGTGTTCAAAATATGTTAGATAGGAGCCTCAGAATCCTTGCCTCCAGGGAGCCACCCGGTTTGACCCTTTCCAGGACGAATCTGTTTGTTTTCCTAGCAGTCCATGGTATTCTCAATACTCTTCTCCAGCACCACAACTCAAAGGCTTCAATTCTCCTTCTATCCTCCTTAGTCATTGACCAACTAACTCTCTGATGCATAACAAGTGATTGCAAAGACCATGGCCTGTATCAGACGCACCTTAGTCTCCAGAGAGTATGTTGGGATATAGTCTGTATTAAAGGCTGTAATCGTTGATCTTTTGCAGCAAGCGCTTGCTTCAAGGCCTCCTGTCTTTGAGCAAGCAAGGTTGTGTCATCTGAATAAGGCAGGTTGATGATGAGTCCTCTTCCTATCCTGATTCCACAATCTTTTTCATAAGACCCTAGCTTCTCAATGCAAGTGGAGTGAAGTAGGAAGTCAAGTACAGCCCTGATGCAGACCTTTCTTGATTTTAAAACCATGTTCGGACAACAGCTTTTTGATGTTTCCTAGAAGAAAAAAAAAAAGAAAGAAAGAAATCGTTTTCATGGTTTCTTTCTCTCTCTCTCTTTTTTTTTAAAAGAAAACATGAGAACGAGTTATTAATACTCAGTGTAACCAGAGCCAACAGAGAGGTGTGAGCGGTTGCTAGCCCTCATGGAGCAACAGCGGGTGGAGCTGTGATTCTCAGAAACTTGGACTTGAGAAACCAGCCTCGCAGAGATAAATAACACTGCATCAGCGGAGCCCCAGCTGAGGAAGACACCCCGCTGTGTCCAGAGGTACGAACTTACTTTCTCTTCTCTCCTCTCCTCCTCCCTTCTCCCCTGCGCTCCCTGACCCCGTAAGAGCCGCTTTGAGAGAGGGAGCGAGACCCCGAGTCAGATGGGACTGTGGTGTCTGTTCCTTTGTTTTTGTTTTTTTTTTCTCTAAAAAAATTATTTTATATTGGTATATATTACATTGGTGTGTCTGATCCTTTGTATGTGTGTGTTGGGGGGTGGGGTGCTGCCCAAGAACTGAGGACACCCCCCCTTAGAAATCACCTTTTTTGCTTCTGAGGGAGCTGAGAGGCTCCAAAGACTCTCCCACTCCCACGCCAGGAAGTGGTTGCATTTAGTCACGGGAGACCAGGGAGTGTGCAAAGGGATGCAATGTACTGAGTTGCCAAGGGAAAGACTGGCTCTTCGAACCCAGTTGGAGGCATCAGCGGGAGAAAGACCTGACGATCTAAGCCCATAAAAAAAGCACAGACTGTGGGGGCAGTTCTCCCCTGTGGGGTCAGGGTGAGTCGAAACGCCCTCGACTGCACCCAGCAATGCTGTTGTTGTTAAATGCCAAGGAATCCACTTTATATATAGCGATTTGGCGAGGGTCAGACCCGAGCCAGCGAAGGCTGCGCGCCTGCCTGCAGCTACACAGCGCTCGAGCGCCCCCTGGTGACAGAAGCCAAGACATCCACTCACTGCCCGGCTGCACGGCTGGAGCGCGCGCTTCTTGCAAATGAAAAACCTCACGACTGACGTTGCATTGGGTTTCCGAGGCTGGGAAGTGCGTGCCATGGGATTGCCCCTCTCTCTCCTGTAAAGCCAGGAGTGGATTCGATTCGCCAGAGGGGCGCGGTATTTGGGTTAGCGGCGAGGCCATTAGAGCTGCCTTGCTAAAGATTCGTTGGGAAAACAAAATTTATCTCACTGTAGCCATCATTTAGTATACGTAACAGATTCATCCTGGAGAGGGTTAAACCAGGCTGCTCCTTGGAGGCAATTCTGGGGCTTCATCTGACATACTTTGGACATGTTGTGAGGAGAGACCGGTCCTTGGAGAGGGACATCATGCTTGGGAGGGTGGTGGGACGGCGTAGGACGGGAAGGCCCTCTAATAGGTGGATTGATTCAGTGACTTGGGTAATCGGGATGGGTGTGTCAGAGACAGAGCGATTGACACAGGACAGAGCAGGGTTTAGGGCTGTTGTACATAGAGTGGCAACGAGTCGCAAGCAACTCGACAGCACATAACAACAACAACAATACAGTTGTGTTGTAGTGAAGAAATCAGAACCGACCCATAGCTGACCCTCCAGCGGGTTTTCAAAGGCTAAATAAAAGACCCCATGTTGAGTGATTGGCCATCTTTCTTCTGCAGAGCAGCTGGTGGATTCCAGCTGTATTATTTTGCGTCGGCAGCACCATTCCTTGCACTCCCCAAGATTTACCACTGCAGCTTTCAGTAAAGCGACAACAGCAATGCCCCAGAAGCGAGGCAGCAAAGAGTTCGTTTCACTTGAGTTCCTTCCTTGGAAGTTTAGGTCCGTCCTTGAAACTCTTCCGGCGTGCACGTCTCTGCGGGCCTTTCGTCACAGAGGAGAAGCCGCTACGGAGCACATTCCGTGTAACACGTGCGGATGCTGGGAATCGCAATCCGCTTGCCAACAGTATTATTTTTTTTTTAGAAAAAGATAACTCAAGCGCTTGCAGCCCAAGTTTAAGGACTACAGCTTTCAATACGGAGTGAAGCTCAACATCAAGAAAACAAAGATTGTCTTGCACACCCATGTTTTTATTGCTGTTTTGTTCACAGTAGCAGAGAGTTGGAAACAACCCAAGTGCCCATCAAGAAGCAATGGCTAGAGAAGCTGTGGTATATTAGCACAATGGAATACTATGCAGCATTAAAAAACAAGGAACTCAGGAAATATTATACAAAATGGGTGACTCTGGAGGACATTATGCTGAGTGCAATATCTCAGTCACAAAAGGACAAATATTGCATAGTGCCACTGTTGTGAAAAAGGGACGGACACTGAGGTTGGGGGAAACCTAAGAAAAGAGGAGATAAATAATGTATACTGCATTGAAACAGGTGAGGGGGAGAACGGTTTAGGAGAAATATATGATTAGGTGTTATTGGCATGACAAGAGCGCAGAATAAGAGCTGCATAGTATAGTGGACTGGGCACGGGGAGTGTATAAAGAATTTTTTTCTTCCAGTAGAGAAAAGCGAACTCGGGGAGAGGGGGGAAAAGAGAGGAAAATGGGCAATAATGAATTAATGGAAATTTAAGTTCTCTATAAACTTTAATTAAAATCGCAATTTGAAGAAACCAACAAAAGTTCTCGCCACTGAGCCAATTGGCAGCATCATGATAGATGGTGAAGTGATTGAGATTGTTAACATATTTAGTTTGCTTGGCTCCACAATCCACACTCTTGGTACCAGCAGCCAGGAAATAAAAAGACGAATTGCCCTGGGAAAGTCTGGTGTCAGAGACCTCTCTAAAGTACTGAAGAGCAACGATGTCAGCCTGGAGTTGCCACTCTATATACAACAGCCCTAAACCCTGCCCTTGATCCAAGCGACAATCTTTGCAATTGCTTGCTATCTGTCAGAGAGCTAGACAATGACTAGGGATGATAGAAGGAAGAGTGATGCCTTTGAGCTGTGTTGCTGGAGAAGAGTATTAAATATACCATGGATTGTTAGGAGAACAAACAGGTCTGTCCTAGAGAGGGTGAAAAGTTGACGGTTCAAATCCACCCATCCTCCTATAGGTGGAAGGTGTGACAGCCTGTTCCCAGGAAGGTGATGGTTTTGGAAACCCTACAGATCAATTCTACAATGTCCAGACATACCATAATAGTCTTCAAAGCAAACCCTTGGAAACCTGATGGGGCAGTTGGAACTAACTCCGTGGCAACCCAACAGTAACATTGAGATTAGGCTGGGACTTAACATCCAGTGGACCCAGAAAGTCGTGATGAGAGATTGGTCCAGTCTTCTCCACTGTGGCCAAGAAACTCAGCAGTAGATTACAGGCTTTGGTGACATTGTGGCTTAGGCATCCAGTTTCTATCCATAAGGTCAATGGTTCAAACCCACCAGCTGCTCCACAAGAGAAAAAAAATGAAGCAATCTGTTTCCATAAAGATTTACAATCTTGGAAACCCTGTGGGTGGCTCTGCTGTGCCCTGCAGGGTCACTAAGGAGCTAGAATCAATTTGATGGCTGAGAGGTTTGTTTTTTAAAACTAGTGGACTGTCGGACTTACAGGAATTTTGAAAATGTTTTTATTTTCACAGAGAAGTGGAACATTTCCCAGCCCCAGTGGACCATGGAAAGGTAAGCCCACTCAAGGGGAAAGCAAATGCCTTTACCTAGTAGTACACATAGCAAATAGCATAGTTATTTGCTACTTCATAGTTATTATAGTTCTTGCTTAAAGATAAACTGGGGTTAGTTGCGGAGAGTTATATAAAACAAGGGAGTCCCATCTGAAGAAAGCAAGTGGTGAAGGAGCCCGTTGTGGATTGAGGAGAAACTCTACAAAGTGCCTCATTAAACCTGAACAAATAAAAGGGAGATGAGGATCACTGGGAGGGAGTGGGGAAAGTGCAGTCCTAGCGCAGGTGCTGTAACTAATGAGAAAACAGAATGTGTGTGAACCTGGACAAGTAAAATGGATATGAGAATCCCTGAGAGGGATTGGGAAGAGTGCAGTCCTAGCAGGTGCTGTAACTAAAGTTAGAAAACCGAATGTGTGTGAATGCTTGAATGAAACAGCAAGTTGCTTTGTGAACTCTCACTCAGCTCAATATATATCTGTATATGTGATCAGTAAAGCATTTCTTTTTTTCCTATTTTTTATTATTTTATTTTTTTATTGGGAAAACATATTGGGGGTGCAAGGAGGTGAGGGTTGGGGGCAGAAGGGTGAGGATGGGCCAGGATGCAGTTGCAGAGCTACACAGTTTGGTCGGTGGGGGGAGCAGGTGAAGGAGATGATGAGGGTCCAGTGGGGATCAGATGCTACAGAGGAATGACAAGCATTTTCCAATGGTA